AGTTTTAAAGTCACACGGGTCGTGTGGGTAGCCACACTGGTCGTGTGAAGTCACACGGGTCGTGTGGGTAGCCACACTGGTCGTGTGAAGTCACACGGGTCGTGTGACAAGCCACACGGGTCGTATGGCTCAAGGCACTATTCAAGTTTAGCTTCGGGTTTTTCACACGGGTCGTGTGACTTAAGTGACTTGGGTCGTGTGAGTTTACACGGGTCGTGTGACTCAAGTGACACGGGTCGTGTGGCGTCACACGGGTCGTGTGACTTGTGACACTGGTCGTGTGAGCGACAAAATTTCAAATTTTTATGATTCGAGTTTGATGCCAACTAAAGTGTATTTTGAGCAATTAAATATGCTTAGCTGATAATTTGAAATGTTTGGTAAGGACTTATTTAAGTGATTAATTTTTACAAGTTTAAATTGTTTAATTTGTTAATTTCTTCACTCAAGATATTTTATTCCAAAGTTTTGGCTATAAATGGAGGCTTCAAAAATCAGATTTTTACACCAAAGTAAAGTATCAAAGTTATATTGAGAGGTTAAGTAAGGATTTTTTAAGGAGAAGTATTTTTGGAGTAAAGGATTTTCAAGATAATTCAAGTTAATTCAAGTTCCTATCAAGTCTTTCAAATTTCAAATTTCAAGCCCTTGAAGGAGGTAATTCATGCTTGTATTTGATGATGAATCATGTTATTAGCAAAGCATGATTAGTATAAGTGATTCTTGTTAGAATTTAAGTATTTGATATCATGCATGAGTTATAAGTTGAGTAATGATTTAGTTTATGTTGGCATAATAGTATCCATTTCATGTTATTGATATGAGTTATCATGATGAGAAGTTGATAAAGTTATAAGTTGATAGCTTAATATGATGTGTTATTCATGTTAAGTGTAAGAGTATGAGTTTCACAGTTGATGATGAGTAAATTGATAAGTTTAGCATCAAAATGTTGATAAGCATGCAATTTCATAAATTGTGCAAGTTTAGCTTTACCATGTTGAGTGAACATGTTGATATCATAATTTAATGTTATGATTGAGTTATAAGGATGAGCAAGTTTAATTATTTTAAATCATGAGTTAAGTTTGATGTTGGTAAGTTGAATATGTTGAGTTATGTATGTGAATTTGAGTTATTTCACTTACAAGATTTGCAAGCCAACATCTAAGTTATAAGACATGATTTATGTGAGTATTGATTGAGTTTTAGTTGAATGTGTTAAGAAGACAATTCTATGAATTGTTTCAAGAATAGTATATTGATATTATAATATGGTTTTGATGAGTTTTAAGTTACCATTTTTATTTCTAAGAAAGTTTAAGATGAGGTTTGAATCATGAATTTATGTATGTGGAATTTAGTTTATTTTCACTTTTAAGTTATTACATGGTATATGAGTTTATACTAACATCTAAGTTTCAAAATCATGATTCATATGATTTAAGTTTGGTATTAAGTAAAAGTTTAAGAATTTAAGATGTTCAATGAATTAATGTTCATTTGAGCTATAGCCGAAATTATCTTTAAGATTCGGATAAGTTATCAGTTAAAGTTAAGAATCCCAAAGTACTATTGAGAATACTATGAGCATAGTACTTAGTATATTTGTTTATATTTTTATGTAGTTGCAGATACAACTACCAGTACAACACTTATAGTTTTCAAAAGTTTTCAAGAAGAAAAGGTGGGAACCCAGACTGGGTAGTACATTGAGTATAATAGCTAGATCATGTTCAAAGGTATGTATATGAGTTAAAGTTATGCTTGGGGTGGAGGCGCAGTAGCCTTAATAAGCCATCCTAAGTAAGTTAAAGATTCGCCCAGTCCAAACTGGGTTTTGGGGAGGCAGCCCCCAATATGTGATCACGTGAGAACCGGCAGTACTGTAGTTGCAAAGTTCAGTTAAAGTTACCGGACCAAGGTCCGGGAGAAGCTTATATATACTTGTGATCATGATATTGATATTATTATTAATGTTTACTTTAGTATGAGTTTTTACGGAGTACAGTTGATTAGTACTCACGTCCCACTATTATCATTTTCAGGTAACAGGGTCGGGCCGAGGGTGTGAGTCAAGCTGTTGTGGTGTCGGTTGTGCTTTCAGTTGTGCATTCAGTTGTGAGTTTATTAAAGTTTGATTGTGAAATTCAATAAGGCATCGGTTTGTAAACGCCACGCTTAAAGACTTCCGCTATGTATATTAAATTTGAACTTGTGTGATTTGAAGTTTGATAATTAAGTAAAGTTTCTGTTTATTATTATAAATGAATTTAGTTTCACACTTGTTCAAAATGTTAAATCTGTTTTATCGAGTTTAAGAAAACAGATTTTCAAAGAAGTTAAGTTTTAGTAGCATTCCGAGTTAAGAATATTTCGAAAAAGTTATAAGTATGTTTCGAAATAAGTTGCGAAAAATTTACTCTGATGAGCGGGGTGTTACACATACAAATCCTATCTCGAGTCGGTTCTGCATGATAAAACTGTAATCCGAATTATTTTTACTTTTTTTATTTAATTTGAACTTTGAAACGTATATTTTCGCATTTTTTTAATTTTATTTTTAAAATTTAGAATTTGGTGTATTTCTTCTACAACTGTGTATATATTTGATATTTACGTTATTTATACTTTTTAAACAAATTTATACTTTTGCGTCATTGTTGGTTTCTGGGTCTTTGGGTCGACCTAATGATGTTTGGGAACGGTGTTGACATTTGTTATCAGATGACATTCTCTACAGACAGAGGTGATTGTTCAATAACGATGGTATTTTTTAAATTCTTTTATATATATATATTTACGTTAATTTGTGATTTCTTTTACATATTCGTTATTCTTTAATATTATGCATTATTTAATTTTAATCCTTACAAGAGTTATTGAATTTGTTAATGTGTAGATTTGCGGCTCAGTGATGATATTATAAAGAATCTGACCCTTGCTGAAATTGAAAATATGTTGCAGAGATGTGGCTTTTTGTATTCGTGAATATTCTTCCATGCCTTATCCAGACAGAGATAGTCTTCATACAACATCAAACTGTCTTATATTGGATGAGCATAATTACGATAAGAAGGCCCTATCTTTGGAGCATGCAACCCTTCTTCAAAGAATGACTGACGAATAGAAAGGGGTCTATTCGAAAATTATGCATGGTTGTTGTGGAATCGGGTGCCGGTGGCGTATTCTTTGTATATGGTTATGGTGGGACTGGAAAAACGTACTTGTAGAGGACGTTATCTGCTGCTTTACGATCCAAAGGTCAAATTGTTCTTTGTGTGGCGTTGAGTGGAATAACATCGCTTTTGTTGCCTGGTGGGAGAACTGTACATTCTCGATTTCACATTCTGTTAATTATTCATTAAAATTCTTCATGCGATATCAACCAGGCAAGTCCTCTTGCTGAATTAATAATACGATGCTCTCTTATCATATGGGACGAGGCTCCAATTATGAACAACCATTGCTTTGAAGCTGTTCAAACATCACTGCAGGCTGTCATGGGAGCACTCGACCCTTCTAACAGTAACAAACCATTCGGAGGCAAGACTATTGTGTTTGGTGGAGACTTCCGACAAATCCTTCCAGTCATTCCAAAGGGCAGTCGCCAAGACATTGTTAATGTAACTATTAATACTTACAACATTTGGAAGGACTGTATTGTGCTTCGACTTACAAAAATTATGCGTCTTTAAAGTATTTTTTACTCGGACGAGCGTGACGAGGTAGCATCCTTTGTTGATTGGATTGCTAGCATCGAAGATGGTACTTTAGGAGGATCAAATGACAGTTGTGCCTCTATTGATATACTAGATGATATTATACTTGATCCCTCCGATGATCCAATTGCTACAATTATGGAAAGTATCTATCCAATGTTTAAGAATTCAACTGAAGATCCAAGTTATTTGAAGGACAGGGCTATTTTAGTGCCAACGTTAGAGGTCGTTGAGTCTATCAATCAGTACATGTCGGAGATGAATTCAGCTGAAGGTCGCACGTATTTGAGTTCTGACAGTGCATCTAAGTCTGATTTCGACAGCGAGTTCTTGGCAGATCTCCACACGCCTGAGTTCTTTAATAGCATCAAGTGTTCGAGAACACCGAACCATGAGTTGCATTTAAAGATAGGAACTTCAGTCATGTTGTTGCGGAACATGGACCATTCTATGTGACTCTGCAATGGGACACGGTTGGTTGTGACCAAACTCTCAGCTAATGTGCTTGAATGCAAGATATTGACGGGTGATCATGCTGGCGAAAAAGTGTTGATTCCTATAATGAATATTACTCCTTCTGATCTTAGGGTTCCATTTAAGTTACAACGACAGAAGTTCCCACTTATGTTTCATATGTCATGACCATAAACAAGAGTCAGGGACAATCTTTAGCGCACGTTGGTCTTTTTCTAAAGAAACCTGTCTTTTGTCATGACCAATTATATGTTGTTGTTTCGCGTGTAACTAATATAAGAGTTTGAAGATTATAGTTTGTGAGGATGGCGAGTTGCCTAATAATCAAACTCATGTTGTGTACAATGAGATCTTTAATAATATATGATTGTTTCTTTGTCGAATACTATTGTACAATTTTTCTGCGTATTATAAAAGTTTTATTGAATATTGTATCTTATAATATAATATTCCCCATATAAATTTATCTCGTGACACGCACATGTCACGTTCTATATATATATATATATCCCGTACATTTTTTTTATTCATTTATATAATTATAATGCTGAAAAAATGACCTTAAAATTGTGCACCCCGTGCATCGCACGGGCTCTGTACTAGTAAAAAATATTTATAATTTAGTAGTTTATTATTAAAGTATATTTTATTTATTAATTTTAGAAGTGTTGGAGATCCACAAAGCATTGTCTTGAGTGGTACTTTTGTAATTGAACAGCAAATAGCCAAATACCCTAATTTAATTTACACAAGTTCTGAGAGTCGCATATAATCTTCCTCCGCCGCCTGACGCCAAAAAAGAGAATGAGGAAGATTTCAGGCCAACTGCTCTCTTCAAAGCCCGTTTCTGTTTCTACGGCAGCGAAACTCATCAGCGACTTCGCCGCTTTCGACAACGGCTCCTCCGCCACCATCTCCCTCTACTTGCAGCGCACGGCCGACGCCTTCAATCACTTACTCCAATTTCACGACAAAAACAGCGACGCCCACAACCCGGAAAGGGCCCATCAATTGGAGACATATTATCTGGATACAAGCCCAGATGGAAAGACAGTGAATGATTCCAATATAAGAGGGAAAAATAATAAGAGGGCTGCTGGAGCAAACCCTAATGAGGATTTGGTATCTGAGGATAAAGAAGAGATCAAGGAGGATCCCAAAAAGATGAAGAAAAATAGGAGGAAGAAGGACGGTTCCAAGGAGGAGAGCAGAAAAAGGAGGAGACTTGAAGGTCATCAAGAATCATAGGGGATGTTTGCTACTTTTGAGTGGTATAATTTTTTATTCCTTTAGGGATTGAGTTTCTTTTTTTGAAAAAAAAAAATGGCTAGTGTAGTTTATTTGGTTTGAAATTGCTTGGTCCCTATTGTTGATGATTAGACTGTATGAACTTGTGAGTTTATTTTTGCATCTGACGAAAAAGCATTTATTATAAGATAGATAATGATAGTTTTCAGTGTGAATATCTTGCTGTTGAATTGTTGTGTTATGAACCCAGTTATGGACCAGGTTAATGCGAGTGGCGAATAATAAATCATACTAGTTCTGAACTAAAGAGAAGCTGAAATGAAATTTCTTGTACTGAAATAAAAAAGTTAAATATTCCATTAACGATTGGGATGGGTTCGACATTTATCATCTTTGATGAAAAACGGTTTAATTTTCGCATATTTAGATTGCTAAGGAGTGAGTACTCCCTTTTTTAGTTTCTTTTTGCTTAAAATCTAGCAGTTGTATGCATAAGGCTCTTAAGTTTACCTGAGAAACTTCCACAAGGTATGGTTTTGTTTCTTCATATTTCCCTGTGAAGAAACTTGATTTCTTGTGATAACTATGTTTATTCCAGAAAATGGTTGACTAGAAATCTGTAGTTGGATATGGCATATTAATGTTCTTATGCAAATGGCTTGTTCCAAGATGAAAATTGTGTCCTACGTTTATTTGATGTTTATTATTGTCGAAGCTGTTGTAAACTGTAATCAGTCTCGTCGTTATTCTAGACAGAGAGGCAACTTGTTATTAAATCTCAGTTTGGAAAGCCATAGTATTCTTCTTTTATTTTCCATGTAGCTTTTAGTGTAAATTCATGTGGAGTTGGCACTTAGCTGCCATAAGAAGTGTTGTGGTGGCTTGGTAGTTTCTTTCGTGAAGATAGTCTTGTTTCAATTTTCAAACTTATTTGTGTGAATTTGGTTTTGTGCTTGGTAGATGAGCCTTTGCTATTATGTTGATGTTATTATTACATTGTATTGAGGGTAACTAGTGGAAGATGGTTGGGCAATTAACATGAACAAATCTCATTTCATGTATACTGGTAATCATATTCTTGAGTATTAGTTCCAATTATGCAACTATGCAAGTCTCAACTGTATTTGACAGTGTTCAGAAAACCGGACCGACCGGGAACCGGTTAGCACGCCGGTCCAGTTTGAGGTATGTACCGTTTGAAGTCAAAACCCACCGAAAAACTGGTAAAACCAGCTGTTTCTTCTTATTTACCACGAAGGCCAACGCTACAGTTCTTCTGATTGGACATTTGACTTACCATGTGCTCATTGTGTTTAGGATGGAAATGTGGCCATGAAGACATGTGCCAGTGTTATAGCTGAATTGAGCCCTTTTGTTATAGCTAAATTGGCCAGGTTTGAGGTCCACCTCAAATCTCAGATAGAATAGGTGATCAAATTACTATGTTCGGCCCAATGACCTGTACTCTATTGTATAATTGTGCTGGGAGATGTGACCTTTACAATATGGCGAATTTACATCTATCCTACCCAATAGATAGAATATGGCAGATTTCCGGCTGAGGAAATTTTTATTGCATATATAGCAGCTATAGGACAAAATATTTGCATATATGCATAAGATATCAATTACCTAATAAAAGATAACTGATGCTCTTAATTTAAGCAACTCATCCGTTCTTACGAGAGAGAAAAACATAACGTTATCATATTCCAAACAAATATATCAAAGAAAAATCTAGAGCGACATTATTTCTTCCATGATCAAGAAATAGTTATGTAAAATATACGATATGTGATGTAACAAAACAAAAATAAGACATCCGTGTTATGTGATGTATACAAACAAAAATAGGTTCGGATCAATATACAACATATGTACAGAAATACAACAAATATACTCTATAGACTGGGAAAAAAAAATCTACAAAAAAGACATGATCTGAAATATACAGAACATACACGATCACAAAAACCAATAATCTTGCTGCTATAAACGCCCATCGAAAAAATATGCGTAATATACACAATTACAAAAACATATATACTGAATATATACATAAATGCCCATCGAAAAAATATACATAATGTACACGATTACAAAACATATATACAGAACATATACATAACATATACCTGCAACTACACAAACAACAACAAAAAGTATAAATATACTACATATATACTACACTAGATGGATTTACGCCGTGCACGCACGGCGGTCTAACACCCGGTGTAAAACTACTGCGGAAATTTGTCATAAGTTGTTGCAGCTTTTGTTCTAGCGTATGTTGTATTTGTTCACATATATTGTGTCTTTTTTTTATGGAAATGTTTTAAGATTTTGCTCTCTTGAATTTCACCAGCGGTTTATGATTTGCGAGGTTGTTTAAATCCGTGAGATAACAATGTATTATTCGTCAAATTCCTTCACACGTGAGTTCATCCGCAAGTATTTTAAACTACATTGCATGATAATCCATCTCATGATCAGTTAAATTTTATTTTATAGACATTTTATAGAGACAAGTCGGTCATTAACATAAACAAGATCCCTCGCATTCTTTAGTACACAGGACTGCAAAATCGCTTAATAAAAGTGTAATATGGGCAAGTCACTTTAAAAATAAAATACAAAATGTATCCAAAAGAAATAATAACTCAGTAAAATGATTAATAATCTTCTAACATCATATAAGGTCCATTTCAAAGAAAATAATTTTAAAAACAAAAGAGCCCAGTGCAAAAGATCTAAACTTCAGGAACTATGGATAAGAAAAGAAAAATTATGCAAAAGATCCGTTTCGATTGGAAATTTGGGTATGCGTTGAAAGTTTGTCTTACCTGGCTAAAATTAATTTGTATTTTATTATGTTAATTATTTTCATTCACAATTATATGTCGTCAAATTTAGCTCTTGATTCCACTCGCCCATGTTCCATGTAGCATTAGCAACCTACATTACCATATCATACACTTATTAAACAAATTTGAACAAATTTAGCAGGAAAAAAATATGATGTACTTTTCAACAAACATTTTAAACCATTGCACAGGTACAAACAAAAAACATGAAGGGTGGCAAGAACGGAAGAAGATTGGTTAACCAGAAAACCAATTGCATTTTAATCATTTCATTCTTCTTATAAAAGGATCTTTGGTTTAGTTGATTCAAGAAAATAATTCATTCAACAAAGTACAATGTTAATTATTAAAATATGTTTTGCTAAATGAATTTAAAGCATAGAAACACACAACTAATCGAGATAATCAACTAAATTGTCCTTTAGTTAGTTATATATTATCTTTCTTTTGACCTGCTCCGTCATCTGCGTCACCTACAGAGAGAAATAACAACTTAATGGAAGTAAAAAGAGAGGACACAACTTATTCAAGTGATTCTGTGAACTTTTCTCTAATGATAAACCACTTTAGGTAAATATTGGGCACTGAGAAGTTGTATTGTTCATACATGACACTAACTATGTCGTAGAGAGTTAGAAACATTTGCAAGTAAAAATGAAAGAACATAAAATAAATTGAAAAAGATTAATAGTCATTAAGCTAATGACCCATAGTGATCCGGATACTGATTGGATATATTGACTTACAATACTTGATAGCTGCCCTAAGCTAAACTATCTAGGTGTTGCTTCAGTTCTTTGTTCTCCATGTTCGTAATGAGATTTTGCTGGTTAATGAAAGGATTTAATACTTGACTGTAAGGCTTGCACGTCTTTCAGTTCAGCTATGTATTGGAGCTTCCAGACCCGTGAACGCTGAGCAAATTACCTGCAAATAGAAGAAGTGTAAACATAAGTGGCTTCCAGCTACCAAAGGCACATATTTGACAAAGTTTTATGGACAAATTATTGGGTAGTTTTCTAATAATGTTTCCTACCTACGTAAGTCTTATTTAAGCAATCGGTTTCACCACCGCCTCAGGCTTGGGTGAAGAAATGCAGGGCGGCCTCTCTTTTCCATCCCGCAGCTTGGGGATGGCCACGTGGATACAGTTCCTACAGTCCATCAGTATTTTTAACTTCATCTTCGATCGCACCCATTGATTTAGTAAGCTCTCGTCAGCCACAAATGAAAAAAAAAATTGCACGTGTGTGTGGACAGAGAATACTAATTCCATGATGGGCAGAGCTGAAAACAGACTGGCATAACCAAAACAATATCTGATTTCTTGGTAAACTTTTTTATGCTTAAAAAGCCTTTTAGCTGCTGGAGAGCAATTTTTATGGTGGCCCTACCCATGAACTCGACTATGCCCGAATGCGACAAGAAAGTCTATTAAGAACCCAAATCAGCGCGAAGACAAGTTTTTGCTATATATTACTCAAAAGCCCTTTTAAACTGTTTAAACCCAAAAAAAGAAATATCTTACCGAAGAAAGCCGAGGATCGCTTGTGTTATGCCAACAACACGAGTTGTAGTGAAAGTCGACCAATGGTACCAATGTGCATTCTTGATCGGGTCGATCTCGTTTTGCAGCATAGCTCTTAAAAGAAGTGAAACGATTGCCACGGGCCCTATTGCAATATCTCACGAGCTACCCATGGCAGCGTAAAATGCAAATAATAAAAACCTCATTCACGAAAACCAGAACCAATATAATCAACAAACGAACCAATGATCTAGCAGGAAAGAACCATTACCTTTTCATCTCCCCGTTTTGTGCCTGAAATTGTATAGGAAAAAATCAAGGAAAATCCGAAAGAATCAATTTAGAGTTACCTCACCTGAAGATACCTACCAATTCTGGTATTTCAAAGAGAACGAGAGAGGGGCTATCCATGGTCGATACCGTGAGGGCCACCTCTCTTATCGGTAAGTTATCTTCGGGCTTCGCTCGCCCGCTGGTTCTTAGATACTGAACAAATCTTTTTTGATTCAGATGTGAAGAAAAAATGTATTCAAGTTCTGAAAAATGAGCAAAAAAAAAAAAATCCTTCTTCTTCAGGATAGAAAAGTGAGAATCAAGTTCTCTTCATT